GTGCTGTTGTTTTGGTCTGTTTCCAAAAAACCCCAAAAAAACCCCCCCCAAACCCCCCCCCCCCCCCCCCCCCTGTGTCTTTATATTTCTCAAACATGATCATAAAGTACATGTTCTTTTAATGTTTTCTGAGTGAGTTGTGTAAAAGAAAAAGATTATCTTCATTTGATTAGTGAAAACCCGATCACTCTATCCCGTTTCGTTCCCGAGTTATTCAAAAAGTACTCACGGACATTATATTTTGAAAATAATAATAGCTCTTAGTAGAAGTGCACAGATACTAATATATCGATATCGCTCGCGCATCAGTCCTAAAAATCTGACATTCTTTTGAGGTCTTGTTCATCCGTAGGGTTTCTACTCGTAGAGTAAGGAACTGATATATTGATAAATTTTGGCGGGTGTTTTACTCACTTTTAAGACAGCAGAGGTCAATGACACGACCAGAATCGTTTTACTTTACGTGCTGAGTGAGGATATAAAGGGTATAAAGGTCTTCATAAAAACTTATTCAACAAGACGTTTTAATTGAGAATATTATAGATCACATAAAAGTACTTATATCAATGAATTCAAGAGTGGTGTAAGTATAATCTCCCATTAAACTCTCAAAAGTTTTCTTAACCTACAACAACACATGATCATTTCTTTTACAAATACTTGGTTTATTGTGCAGCAAACGGTTTAGGTTCAGAAGCGTGGTGAACTCTCGGTTACCTGCGTATACCTTTGAAAAAAGTCGCTCGTGGTTGTCTTACTACATCTATATTTGTTATTGTTTGAATACAGGTGCAACAGAAAGCGAAGAAAAAATTTTTTCTTGACTTCTTTTTGAGTGTCTTATCAAGAGTGAGTGTGCCTAAATATCTAAACTTTTCTGATGATTTTACTTTCTTCTTCATTCTTTCACATAGTTTTGCAAGGAACTTGTGGAATTTTTATTAAGGTCTTGAGTAGATTGAGATGAAAAAACATCTTTTAGTTTGGATAACAAATAAGTGAGTGATCACCCTTAAACTAGGGGTGTTAATTTAGTTTTATTTTTCATTTATAATAATGGATAAAACTAAATGAATCATTTATACTTAAAAAATAAAGATACATTTGTCATTTATATTTAAAAACTAAATATAAATAAATGAAAAAAAAATTTATCTTTATTTTATAAAAGTAAATGATTCCTTTATTATTTCTACCTTTATTTTTAAAAGTAAAGGTAGAAATAAATAAATAAATGTAAAGGAATCATTTACTTTTATAAAATAAAGATAAATTTTTTTTTCATTTATTTATATTTAGTTTTTAAATATAAATGAAAAATTTATCTTTATTTTTTAAGTATAAATGATTCATTTATATTTATTTTCCAAAGTAACACTAAATTAACACCCCTACCTTAAACATTATGAGAATCGATTATTGTCCGTTTCGAAAAAATAGACTCCACAATGTTTTGTGGAGTCTATCCATGCTATGATAGCCCAAGGTATCCTCTTCAAAATGAGAGTTAAATGCGACCTTGGTTTTCCGGGGCTCGGGTGTTGTGTCGGATTTCTTGCGAGTCCTAGGACTACCACTCGGTGAGTATTGGTAGCCTTGAAAACTGATGGACTATAGGTAATCGATCATGCTGAGTCTCGTGACAATATTTGCTTTTAGAAAAAATTCTAAAAGTCTACCGAAAAGCGAGTTTTACGAAAATTTGGGTTTTCAGGCTGTTTTCACCTATTAAACAATTCACTATTAACTCAATAAACATCAGAACGGGTTCAAGACTTCAGAATATAGAGTATTTGAGCTATTCTATATCCTATTTATAGGAGATCTTAAAAGAAAGTTTACGAAATCCTAAGGTTTTTCAAAAGGGTTTCTGGAAAACCTATTAACACAAATATGCTTTTTCGATTTTTTCGATCTAATAATCCCATTTAGCAGAGAAAATCGACCAGGTTCTGAAGCTCTGAGCTCCTTCTGATGTTTATTGGATGAATAGTGAATTGTTTAATAGGTGAAAACAGCCTGAAAACCCAAATTTTCGTAAAACTCGCTTTTCGGTAGACTTTTAAAATTTTTTCTAAAATTTTTTTCTACAAAATGAATTATACTCAGTTAACAGCCGTTGGTTCCGACATCCATGGCGGGCCACTGTTTACCTCTGAAATGAGCTGAAAACCTTTTTCTAAATCAGTTTTCAATGCTGATTTAGAAAAATATGGCTCGAACATTCCAACTTGCAATACAAGCTCAAAAAGTCAATTCCACCATAGAGAACGGTTTTTGTATTTTTGAGGTCCTCTTAGTAATTTGAGTTTTTCTCCATGAAGAAATGGCTTTTGAAGGCTCGGTATGTGTTATTCGTAATCAGCTCATTAAGCTGAGTCTGAATATGTATAATAATGCCGGAAACAAATTCCACTGGAATTTTACATTACCTGTACCTTACCTCCTCTGCTCTGTAATGCATCTGGAGACTAACAAAGTCAAAAACTCGAAAAGTCAACGAGCATCCCGAATCAATTCCCATACTTTGAACAATCTCGAATTTGAGGTATGGAAAGGCAGACATAGGACGGATACACTTGAATCACAGCATAAAACTTGTGTTAACTGGTTCAAATCGCAAAACAGCCCTACTGTTGAATGTGTCCCGTAAAAGAACTTTTTTATTAAATTACGGCGTTTACTGTTTTATTTGTAGTATTTCACCGAAATTAACTCTTCATGTCAATACCATGTACTGCACTGCGCGTCCTTGTTGTTGGGTGCGGAAATATGGGCACAGCGCACGCCAGAGCGTATTCGCTGCTGCCTGGAATCGAAATTTGTGGTATTGTGTCTACCGGAAAAAGCAAAGACGTACTCAATGAGCGGCTAGGTGGTGGCTATGCCTTGTTCAGTGATATTGCTACTGCCTTAGCGAACGCAAAACCAGATGCCGTTTGTATTTCTACTTATCCTGATACGCACGAAGCCTTTGCCATCATGTCCCTTGAACACGGTTGCCATGTGTTTATTGAAAAGCCCCTAGCTGATACGGTAGATGGTGCCAAGCGAGTAGTGGCATGCGCGAAAAAGGCCGGGAAAAAACTGGTAGTAGGCTACATCTTGCGCCATCATCCCTCCTGGAAAAAATTTGTAGAACTGGCTCAGGGATTAGGCAAACCGCTGGTGATGCGAATGAATTTGAACCAACAAAGCCACGGAAACATGTGGATTGTCCACCAAAATTTAATGAAAAGTCTCAGCCCAATTGTCGATTGTGGAGTGCATTACATAGACGTGATGTGCCAGATGGCTCGTTCGAAACCTGTTCAGGTTAATGCGATTGGGGCGCGGTTAACCGATGCTATACCACCACACAATTATAACTACGGTCAGTTGCAAATTCGATTTGAAGATGGTTCAGTAGGCTGGTACGAAGCCGGTTGGGGCCCAATGATGAGCGAAACCGCTTTCTTTGTGAAAGACGTAATTGGGCCGAAAGGCTGTGTGTCCATTGTTGCCAAGACCGTCGGAGCCGCTGGAAAATCGGACGACGTCGATTCGCACACCAAAACTGAATCACTGCGGGTACATCATGCCGCGCTGAATGATGCCAATCAGTTTATTGAGGACGATACCTGGATAGACATGCAGGATGAGCCGGACCATCAGGAGCTGTGCAACCGCGAACAACAATATTTTCTAAAAGCTATCCAGGAAGACCTCAATTTAACAGACCACTTGCAAGATGCCGTCAACAGTCTGCAGATCGCTCTTTCCTGCGACGAATCGGTGCGAAGTGGGTTGCCGGTTTATCTGTGACGTGACTTATCGGACGATACAAACAAAACTTGAAGCTTTGACTAGTGCAACTCTGACTGCTAACAGTAAATTCGGTAAAATCGATCACCAGTACTCAGAAGTATCACCTCTCTCTAGTAGTTTGTGGAATACGCATGCTGTGCATAAGGCTCTGCGGCAGTGAGTTGCAGAGAACCATCATGGTCCAGAAAAAGCATAGCGCGGTAAGGCATTTCCTAAATTCCAAGACGAAATTCTCTTATTTGACTTTAATCGAAGTTCGTTGCTGTGGACCCGGAATTCAATAAGATGACCATAACTCAAGAATACAGGCCTATGGATCAATCCTTTTGGTGTTCTTCGAGTCTCAGCGGGTTCTAATTAACGGGACAAGTCTCATTCTAAACCGATTTGTCACCCGAGAATCGTCCCTTATCAACTACATTCTTAGTCGCACATAATCCACAGGAATCAGGATGATGCAGCAGATACAACCCATGAGTATTTTTTTCGCAAAAAAAAAATATTGGAGATAAACGTTTCATCGTCAAATTTCAGACAAAATCTAGACCATTTTCCGGGGAGCGCTGAATCAGTGACATCTCGATATCCATTGAATATTCTGGCTTAATCGATAACCACGTGATAATTCACGTTTCGTACGTTTAATCTCATCAGACAACGTTTAAATAAGCATTTCTGAATAGCATTTTGATAGTACAAATGTATAGATGGAACACTGAGGCTTATGAATTTCGAAATTAATTTTCCTTCACACAGTTCTTAAGAAATTTCAAGTCTAGTTTTGAGTTGCAATTTTTAATTGAGACTTTCCAAATAAGAACAAATTATTAGTAGCGTACGACCCGTAGTGCTGCCAGTAATTTTACAAATAATTGTATTTTGTTACGGGTAAACATTTTGAAATACAAACGATGAGTTTAACAGCAACTGTAAATCACAGTTATTATTCATTTTTGTTCAACGCTGCCATTTATATGCTTAGTCTGGCGTTTAACCAATAGAATAATTCAGTTTCAAGAAACTGACGACGCTAAGGTGAGGCTTTCTCTTTCAGTCTCTCTAGCAAACTCAGCTGCGCCACTCGAATCTTTTTGCGAGGCGATCGCGTCTCAAAATTCTTAATTTCTGGAATTTTAGTGCAATCCCAGAATTTTAGATTCGGGCCACATTCCGCCTTCTCAAAGCTAAGACTAATGGTTGCTACAGTGTTTGGTATTTGAATCGTTCTCTGAATACAGGTCGACAAAAGTTAGTAAAAAAAGATTCGAGTGGCGCAGCTGACATGAGAGAGAAGGCCTCACCTGAGCGTCGTCGGTTTCTTGAAATTGAAGACAAATTACCTAATGTAAACGTTATGGTTCGATACGAAAATGAAACACTGATAAGTCTATGAGAGGCAGACGCTTTTATCTGTCCATTTGTTGGAGTGATCGTAGACGAGCAAAGCAGGAGAGATATATACAGGTGGGCGTTCTCTCCTTGCTGGCGATGACAAACAGTTATTCAAAGACCTTGAAGCAAAGATATTCTTTTTCGTTCTATACTAAAAGAGAGTCCACTTGATGGTAGTCTTGTTCAGTGATGACTTTCTACTGTCCACGAAAATAGACATCGAGCGGTTGTATGAGCGATGTTGTTTTGGGAGAAATTTCCGGAGGGTCAATATTTCACTTTGTCATAAAGGCTCTTGACTCTTGAGATCATGAGTCATAAAATTTTCCACATTTAATTCTCTACAGAATGGTATATAGGAGATGATCCTGAGAGTTGAGATGCTGTCATAATTGAACTGAAATCGAAATGTCCCAGAAGTTTCAATGTTTCAAGAAACGAAAAACCGCGCTTGCTTTATATGCGTTGTTTATATATCTTCCATGCTAATAGAGCTAGAGATATAAAAATCTATAGTAATAATCATCTAGTTGTAAGAGATTAAATGTTTGAGCTTTTTTGGATTGACATTAAGAAAGAAAAGCATTTTTTTTCCAGAGGACCCAAAGCTTATTAATCACCCTTTGGTTGCGGCGTTTCGATTGTTTTGAGGGAAGTGACATCACACATTTCGTATGTAAATCAAATAGGCAAAACATTTCTCTTCAAAATGACACAAGAATGAGCCTGATTCATTCATTCGTAAGTGAGCACCATTCATTTTACAAACAGCTCCAAAATGCAGATCGAAAAAACTGAAAAAACATTCACAGGGCTTTTGCAAAAGGATTATTAAAAATACAGAAATAACGACAGAAAATTTGCATTATAGCCATTCGATAGAAACTTCCAAGGGCTACATTTTTGCCTATTCGATGTAGGCACAACGCATACATTCAAGCTTATACGGGCGAAATACATTCTTCGGTTTTGGGGCATTGACAGTTTTGGGACATCTCTATTTCAGTTCAATTACGACGGCATCCCAACTCTCAGGATCATCTCCTATATACCATTTTGTAGAGAATTAAATGGGGAAAATTTTCTCACTCGCAAGCATGTCTGTCCCTAAATTACCCTAAAATCGATTTTAGCTCATTTAAATCAATTTTTAGTTATAAAATGGCATTAATCACTATGACAGAAATCATTCAGAATTTGTTTTAAGATTCGATATTAAGTTAAATTTAATCATGGATTCAATTATCGACCACCGTCTTTTACTACTGATTTTAGAATATTAGGTTTGAATCCGGATCTGATCTTTTCTGACTGTGAGCTTTCCATAGATTCCAAAATCATTGTAGTAGAAAAAGCAGAAGCTATGAATCATAATTCAGAAAACAAAAAACGTCAGGCTTCTCTCGTCCTTATCTTTGACGCTGTTTGTTTCTTCGTCATCCTAACATGCGGATAAAACGAGTCGATAGTGGGTACATTCATTTATTCTTCTTTCACCTTATTGATAACGTATAAATATGGCAATACAATCCCATGCTTCTATCAGTTGGATGTGAAAAACGAATAAAAAGGATCCATGATACTACGGAAGAAGAGACAGATGAGGAATGGAGCTTCTATTCTGACATGGAAATAGCGGTTACCGGAGAAGCGTTTCAAAAGAAGGCAACAGAAGCCATTTTTGATAAAAAAGTTTCCAAGAAAACGTTTTCATTACAAAATGATAGCATCATATATGGCTCAATGCTGCTTTTTGTGCGGTTTCCGAAAATAATTTTACTTGCTCAGCAATTTCAGTCCAAAATAGAGTTTTTATTATACACGTTTCTTCAAACGAATAAAAAATAGATTTTCTTTAACGGCTATGTAGTTTGAGGTTAAATTTCCACTAAGTGTTACTCATGTACCTTTTTTAATTCAGTGAATAGGCCGTGTATTGCTGTAACCGTATATTTAGTGTTATTTAAACCTGAAGAAAGCACATTTTTGTTTTTGGGCCAAATACCCGATTGGATGTCTAATGTGCAATTCTGCGAGTGGGTTTTTCGTTTTCTGATATAAATTTTTTTCCATTGCTAAATGTTTATCAGCCAAGTCATGTTTGTGTAATCTTGTATACAAATTGCCTAATTTTTCTTCAATAAATTCAACCTTTCCTTGGCTAGGTAACTCAGATTCCTGATATAATTTTTTTATTATCATCAAATGTTCCTCAGCTAAACTATATTGATGCAACGTTATATAAACATTAGCTAATTTGATGTGACTTTTAACTATTTCTTCTCTCTTGGCACACATTTCAGTCATATTATCCGTTGGTTTTCGTGCATTGTGTTTCAATACATATTCATGTTCCATTAATTGATATTTGAGTGCTGAACTATAGTCATGTTTGTGGTCATAACAGATTTTAAATATTTTCTCAAAAGTAACCTTAATACGGTATAAAACAGGTTTGAATTGTTGCATATAAACTTCCAAAGCTTTTTCATAGTTAATCAATGCATCATCATACTTAAATATCGATTGATAAAGATTAGCTATTTCTTCAATACGAGTGGCAATACCGTAATAATCAGATGAACGATATTTTAACAGGTTTTGAACACTTAGTTCTATGTGTGTTATAGCCATTAAACAATTTTGTATTTGTTCACTCTCATCAATGCTGATTTCCATCTTGCTTGTGTACACATCACGCAACAGATCGAATATATCTATTTTTTCATAATCCGTAGTAGCCTTTTGATTTGCTAATTGAAAATAATCGATAGCTAGATCATAATGTTTTATAGCCATAGTGTGATCATTTAATTCTTCTGGATAACAGTCACCAATACCTTTATAAATTTTACCAATATCGACAGAGCAATTTAATTCATCATCGTTTATATATTCAAACCATAATGTCAATACTTCATCGCGAGTTGATAATGCTTCAGCGTAAGTTTCTTCTATATATTTTGTAGGGTAGTAACCGAGGTAATGATCTTTCATATCAAAAATCCATTTTTCTGATGGAAATAAATCAATTAATTTATTGAATATTGTGATTCTGACATCAGATTGCTCCTTGTAAAGTACATCGTGAAGTATACTAACACAGTTTTTCAATGTTTTTCTCTTGCTTGCATTTTCAAAATCTCGATCGTCTTTTATATGATCATCCTTTAATAATTTCAGTTTAGCTATCCAAACTTTTTCATTTTCATTGTAATAAACATCGTCTGGTTCGATATCAAATTGTGTTGTAGTCATGAATAATACTTCAGATTCTTCTGGAAAGCTGCTCAAATGTGAAATGTTAGCATAAGGGCGAGACTCTAGTCGAACATCGATCTCAATTTCAAATAAAACACATTGAACCCCGTCATCGGGCTGTGATGTACTTGTATACAATAATGCTACAGAACGAGCAGTAGTCGTTGAAAAGAAACAATTACTTACAATTGACGATGCTGTGTCATAGTCACATGATTTAATCCTGTCAATTTCATCACGTGTCATAAATTGTCCTCGGTATACTTTTAATGGATTATCTAAATGCTGCAATTTGAATCCTTCATGTTCGTGTTTTAATTGTCGATACATGTCTTGTATAAAGAATCCGAATAAAAACAGCACTTGAATATTATGTTGCTGTAATGCGAGATTTATTGAACGATAGAGAAAGCTGTCGCGTGTATACCACCAAATAGCTTTGTCCGATGTATAATCGCGTTCAAATTCCTGCAGAACTTTTAATTGTGCTTCGTTACCACTATAATAATATTTTAACGAATCAATGAGTTTACATTTGCGATCGTCTGGATATGGTAAATAAGACAAAAGATCGACAATTTCTACCAATAAACATGTGAATGCATCTGTAGTATCATCTTGTCTTCCTATTTCTCCACAAATTTCATGCTTTTTATGGTTTAAATATTCCTGAACAGCTTGCACTAGATCATTTAACAGTTCGTCAATGTTTGTGTGTACTTGTTTAATCTACATGAAAATCAAAGAACAAATATGTGTCCGACAAATGCAGAGACTCAATAAACTGAAATTTTTAGTTTTAAATCGACGGACTTCTTATTTTGACTAGATAAAATTACTTCAGCTAGAAGTAGGCCTAGAAAAATAACTGTGTATGTTTCTAATTCTGAAGCCATTTCAGAGAAGCTATGGATGTGATCAGTTCATAACGGCTCACGAAAGTAAAATCAAACAATGGTAGATGGGACTCGCTAGACGTTGCATGAATAGTAAGTGAACTGAAACGATGGTTAATTAAGTAAATTAAAAAACTAATATTAAGTAAAAAGTTAGATGGTATTAATCTAGATACGATCATTAGGAAATCAGAAAAACGTTTAAGGAACGATGAGCTCGTTCAAGGCCGCTTGGCATTAACAGCTTAAATTTCTAAAAGCCGTCTGCAGAGGCGTCTCTCTAAATTTACTTAGAGCTTTCTAAGAAATTTTGTACTGTCCGGTGCAGAAGATTAGTAAGAACGTTATAATGTTAACAATCAGACATATACCTATTATCAACGCAGAAATATGACGTTTGAATAGAAGGATACACTAAGTAAATGGACCACTTACACTTCTCTTAGCAAAAACAATTTTCGTTACAAACAGACAATTTCTAATGGAACTAATAAAGATTTAAGTTCATTAAGACATTGAACTTGGAATGGTTGAAAATTTTTCAGTTCGTTGAAAAGTTGTGTGTTGGTGATGAAATATTATTCATATAGGTAACTCGCCATGCTCTACAATATGACACATTCAAATCAATCAAGATCTAAAACTATTAAACTATAAAAACAAGTCAGATTTGAGCTGAAAAACCAGATTTTCCCCGAAAGGTAAGCTTTCAGGGCCATGTATACACAAAACACTATGATATTTGGAATTAGCATCATCTATAACCTATACCTATGTGTGTTTAGATGAAAAGCTCGGGAGCATTTGGGGTCGTTCCCTGGTAGGGTGAAAAGCTTTTTTTAGACTATTTAGGCTTATCAATGAGTAAATGTACTTTTGATCACAAAACACATTTAGATACAAATGATCACCAAAAAAAAGATACTTTTGATCACCGAATTTTCCAACATGCATCTGACATTTTATTTCTCAACAAAGTGTGATATACAACACAAGTATATTCATTGAGATTTTAACCAAATGAACAATAAAGCTGTGCTAACTTTCTTGGAACGCCCCTTTGCCTGTCGTTTGCCTAATGGTAGAGCACGTGTTTTATCGCTAACTTGATACAACTTAAATAAAATTGCTAATCCAACAGAATGTTTACACGAATTTACTAATAATGGCACAACAAGCCAACAGGATTGTTACCACACCAGAGAACTACTGAATGTGTCATTGTCTAGGTAGTAACTGTTCTCGCCGGTAGCTTATATTCAATATTCTTCTGGTGTGGTAACAATCCTGTTGGCTTGCTGTACTATAATTAGTGAATTCGTGTAAACATTCTGTTGGATTAGCAACTTTATTTAACTTGTATTAAGTTAGCGATAAAACACGTATTCAACCATTAAGCAAACGAAAAGCAAAAGAGCGTTTCAAGAAAGGCAGCACAGCTTTATTGTTCATTTGGTTAAAATCTCAATGAATATACTTGTGTTGTATATTACACTTTGTTGAGAAATAAAATGTGAGATGCATGTTGGAGAATTTGGTGATCAAAAGTATCTTTATTTGATGATCAAAAAAATTGACACCCTTTATCAATACATATACACTTATTATGCGTTAAATAAGGCAACTGAATAAATGTATATTAGAATTCTTTTTAAGTTGATATCTCTATTTTCTGCCACCGTATTGAGTATACTGAAGCTCAAACATAAAAAAGTTTGATCTTAGATGCAGTTTTACTAACATCGATGACACATAGTCTCTTACCTTTGAGTAGTTTGAAGCCCATTTTTGATGATATTCTTTGTTCGTACAATAAATGTAGATAGAAGAAACTCTTTTGAGATTGTGAATGCCAGGTACCAGCCGTTCGCCTAAGTGACCGCATGTCACTAAAAATGAAGTTGTATTCTTGGTTTGTTCAATGAACTGTTGACATTGTTCAACATCGTCAAACAGTTTTGTATAATCAACAATTTTTCTGAGGGCTTTAAGTGTAATTACAGAATTACTTTCTTCATTTTTATTGACAGTTGGATCTAACCAAACTAACTGATGTGGTTCAATATTTACTCTTTCACGATCTAAGACGATCCGTTTTTCGTGTATTTCGTTCTCATAATTGGAGCATTTCACTGTTGTCTCTCCCACATCTAATTTTATCGTTTTTACAGCACTCATAACTGGCAGGTAACTAAAACAACTAGGAATAACGAACGAAAACAGCCTGTTGGATTTTAGTAGTTTCTTTAAACATCACACCATTCCTTCCTTCCGTAGAAATCAACAGCAAAGTTTCAGTGTCGATTTCCAGCCCAAGCATGAAATTTCATAAGAAATAAGCTAGCTGCACTTGCTGAAGAAGCGCCCGCTTCTCCATTGACTGCAGCTAGCTAAAAGAGTAAAATTTAGCGGGTGCAGCTAGCTGCAGCGGGACAAAC